TTCATTTTCAGAAGAAAGCAAGAGACTAGGCTGATAGGCGAAAAAGGGATTCCAGCTTTGAAAATCAAGTAAGTAGGAATCTCGCCTACAGTATAAATAGATTTTAAAGTAAACAGTACACATGAACTATATATGTTTGAGTACATTTAATGTTATGAATGCTATGCTATGTTATACTACATACACTTAAGCAGTACACCCGAATTATATGTGTTCGAGTACATGATATAGTATGCTATGCTAGGTCATATTGCATACACCTTAATAAGTCAAGAGGAACTTATAAGAGTAATCTCAGTTGAGTGCCGTACCAGCCTCCACAAGGGAGGTAACTCAAGCTCCACAAGGGAGAAAAAAAAAATAATGATGTCCTCCAACTCAAGGGAGGCATTCAAGTTATAATCACGGTGTCATGGGGGACCTTGCAAACCCTTACGTCCCGATGATTGCGCGCAAGTGGTACGAGCACTCGAGCCCATCAGTAAGAAAGATAAGATAAGATAATAAGACTCTGATAAGACATCATAATTAAGCATAATTGGCTCATGCATATTTATTCATGTGAACTTACAGTTATTTTGCGGGAGATATTTCATACTTGCTGAGCGAAAGCTCATTATAGAATGTTTATACTGTAGGTAAGCAACCGGCATATAATGCCTGATGGACTGCTAGCGAGTGGACGAACGATGTGGGGCTCGGAATATGGATACCACTCGCAAATATTTCCGCAATCAACTTTATGTTATAAATAGTTTTGTTAATTATGATTCTGAAACAGATATGTTATAGTTTAAATATTTTAATTAAGAAAGTAATTTTGTATCTTATGTTTATTATAAGACTTTTAAAAAAAAAAAAAAATTTTCGTAAATTTTAAGAAATTTCAGTAAGTACAAGTTAAAAAGTTAGTTACAGTTGCGGCCTCAAAGGAGGGTCGCTACAGGAAAACTAAAAGAGTGGCACTGAAATTTATAATGGTTCGCCTTCAATGTGAGTGCTACGTCCAATGTAGTATTTAGTCTTCTACTATGTATGCATAAAATAATACAAAGAAGTTTAAAAAAAGTTGAGAGAGACAGTAATGGAGGAAAGAGAGAGAGGCGACGGCTCTAGGGCGAATTACGTAGACAATGCACGAGTTTTGGGAGTGTTAGAATCCTCTGGACGTTGTGGGAAGTCTTCCTTTTATAGCTGCAAACTCTTATTTTCAAATTAAGGCTAGTTTTTCTTTCTTGAATAGAGTTTACTTTCTCGATTATGTTTTTATTCAACTTTCCTTGTAAATGTCGTGTCTTCTGGGATTTAGACGTCCTTTGGTGTGATTAATCTACATGCAACCAGAAGCATGTAAGTGTTTGATAATTTTTTTTCTTTCAAAACTGTCGTGAATACCATAAGTATAAATTTAGGTATTTGGTAACTATATATAAAATTACTGTGAAATCTATAATGACCAAAATAGATATAAATTAGCTTTTCTATCAGATCCAACGAAGTCTTAGACATTTGTGAATTTTCTATCAGATCTGCAGAGCTATGCAGAACCCACTTTTATCAAACTAACAAAAATAACTATTCTTGTTTATTCAAGTTAACCAAACATTCATTTCTCCACAGATCCAACGAACAGAAAAGAAAAAGAGAGAGAAAAATGTAGAATTCCTAAAGAAAATTTGATCTACAGGTTAATGTAAGTAATTTTGCTTCTTTTACAACTTCTAAATAATATTGTATTCTAAAACTTCGAAATCTTTGATATATTTTTTCATATGCTTTCCTCAGAAGCCAGATCAAGAATAATATTCAGACACAAACGAGATCAAACATATAAATACACAGATTAAAGCCAAATGGTAGCGAATCAGATATATAAGCTACAAACAAAGCAAAATAGCACGGAAGAATTAAAAGAAAATGAGAAACCCGCGATACTTGAATTCAAAACAAAATATTGCAACTATCCCTCCATTTTCTTTCCCGGAACCAAACAAGATTGCACCGACAACATATTCAAATCAGAGAAAGCAGATCAGAATTGGAATTTAGGAAACAAGAGGAATATGAGATTGAGAAAAGGAGATCAATTTACCTGTTTAGAGGAAGCGAGCGAGGAGAGAGAAATTGGTGGAGAGGACCAAGAGAGAGAGTGGGGAAAACGAGGGACTTTTTCCGTGAATAACCTTTCAATGAGAGACCAAGGTATACATAGTAGTGTTATAAATTTTTTTCTTGTTTTCCATTTTTTTTAATTTAGAAATTCGAACCTATGATTTACCATTCGAATCAAAACCAGGTTCAACTTATGTTTGATAAAGCAAACAATTCCAACCATTTGGATTGGAAATCCAAATTCTATGGCCTCGTTTGATTTAACGATTTAAATTGTTAATTTAGTTTAAATTATGATGATTTGAATTGTGGTGAATTGAATAGTGATTCAAACCATTGTTTAAATAAGTAAATAAATTGTAATTTGAATAGAGAATTTAATTTAGTTTAAATTATGATAATTTGAATTGTGGTGAATTAAATTGTGATTCAAACCGTTGTTTGAATAAGAGAATAAAATTATAATTGTGTTTGGATAAATTGTTGAAAATTGTTGTTAGAGTTTTGTAACAAATCTTATAAATCTCATTGTAAATGACATTAAAAATATACAATATGGATGTGGATTTATTATTCTCTTCGTTATGAACAAAATAAAAAAAATAAAAAAATATCTCAATCAGAATTCAAACGGAAAAGTTATTATATTTTTAAGCTTGAAGTTGAAGAGAAAAAAAAAATAGATTCTTGAGATTTTGTGTTGCTTTTCATTGTAGCTCCACCATTAGGAACGTTGAATTTAGAGGTGTGTAAATTCTGAACTGAACCCTCTGAGTTGTGGTAGGTGGTCATGATGGCCCCTTTTAATTTCTCAACCAAACATGTTTTTGGACCTTTGGGTCTCATTTGAATTGGACTCAAAGGTTTGAGTAGCTCAAACAAATAGGGGCTAAGCCTCAAAATCCCTATTTAGCAAACAATTCCAACCGTTTGGATTGAAAAGCTCTTTCAGTATGTTTGTTTCACAACTTAAGTTGAGACACTGTAGTAAAAGGTTGAATTTAAATTTTTGTAAGAGAAAACACTATAGTAAAAGAAATTGAGTTGTGTAAAGAACTTCTTTTTTTTTTTTTTGCTTTAAGGGTTAATTTCATAAATATCCCCTAAACTTTGTTAAAATACCCCTGAACTTTGTAATTTTATAAATATGCCTTTGGGCTGTTTCTGATTTTAACTGTAAATTCTTCAGAAATTCTTCAAAAAGTACTTTATAATTGTTTGCTTTATCAAACATTAGGTTGAACCTAGTTTTGATTCGAATGGTAAATCATAGGGTACGTTTGTTTCTGGTTTTGAAAACATTTTTCACGTTTTCCGAAGAAGAAAAATTAAAACAAAAAAAATAATATTTAAGGATGTGCCATACTAAAATTAAATACAAAAACGTTTTTAAATTTTTCCTAAAAATTTCCGCTTTTCTAAAAACAGATTAAATCCATTTTTATTTTTTCTCTTTTCATTTTCTCCAGCCGGATTATGGGCCTGTTTGTTAGCGTTTTTGTTTTCATTTCTCACGTTTTTCAAAGCAAAAAATTGAAAACAGAAATGAAAAATACGTTGGGTGGAATTTGTGTTAGAAAACAAAAACAAAAACATTTGTCTTTTTGTGAAAAATTGAAAACGAAAAAAATACGATTTCATTTTCTGAAAACGGATTTCAATTTTTTTTTCTTTTCTTCTCTCTCTTCTCCAGACGAAGAAGACGCAGGACATCCGGCGAACACCCACCGTCGCTCCTCTCCGACTGACCCGCCACCATCTTCTCCGACTGCCCACCACCGTCTTCTCCGACTGCCCACCCCCCGGGCGCCTGTGACTACGACCCCTCCAGCGCCTGCAACTGGCCACCCGTCTTCCGAGTGACGTCCCCACCCCCCGGCGTCTGCAACTGCGCGCCAGTTCCCCCCTCTTCTTCGACTGCCCCATGTAAAAATTCACGTTCATTTTTAATATATTTATTTAATATATTTAATAATAATATTTATTTAATATATTTAATATTATTATTTATTCAATATATTATTAATTTAAATATTATTTCATGTTTTCAAAAATTAAACCACCAAACGCAGTTTCAGTTTTTTTTTAAAACTGAAATCAATATCTGAATAAAACTACTAAACGCATTTCAGAAATAATTCCAAAATGAAAATGAAAACGTTTTCATTTCCTATTTTCATACAAAAAACAAAATCATTTTGGAAATAATTCCAAACGCACCCTATATTTTTTTCCTCTTATTTTTTCACTCCACCTCCACGCTGCCTTTTCTTCTCCCATTTCTTCACTCCACGTTGAAGCTAGGTTTTCTCTCCAGTCTCCACCGCCGCTCCTTCTCTTCATCGACGCTCCGTCTCTTCACCGCCGTGACCTTCTCTTTCTCTCAGAAGTCACCCAGCCTTGCGGCCTATTCTCTCAAGAGTCCCTTCTTATTCTTCTTCTTCTTCTTTCATCTCCGTCTTGTTCTCTCTAGACTGTCGTCATCTTTCCGTTAAATTCGGCTTTAGGGAAGTCGTGTTCTTCTCATTTCTTCAGCTTCGTCAGATTCAGGTATTTCTCTCTCCATTTTTTGTTTTTTTTTTTTCGTTTTGATTTTTTGTTATTTCCGATGGTTTGGATTTATGATTTTCTGTTTGTGGTTTGATCTGTGTTTATAACGCTACTATACCTTGGTCTCTCATGCTATTGACGGAAAAGTCTCTCATTTTCCCCTCTCTCTCTCTTGGTCCTCTCCACCGGTTTCTCTCTCCTCGCTCGCTTCCTCTAGATAGGCAAAATGATCTCTTTTTCTCAATCACATATTCCTCTAGTTTTCTAAATTCCAATTCCAATCTACTTTCTCTGATTTGAATATGCCGTCGGTGCAATCTTATTTGGTTCCTGAGAAAGAAAATGGAGGGAAACTTGCAATATTTTGAGGACATTTGGTATAAAATAATCATTAGAGTAGAAATGTGAATCTTTTAGATTCTTATATTTAGTATATTTATTAAATTTTTTTAAAAGTTAAGAAAGTAAAGTTCATAAATTTCACATTATTACTTGAGGTAATTTTAAACCCAATCGTTATTTACTTTATGAGGAAAGGAATATTTACGGAAACAACCTCTCTCTCGTCCATTTCTCTCACCCACCCGTCTCACCCATCTCTCTCGTCCAGACCCAGCACCGCTTCCGTCGAGGACGCCGCCGCCGCGGCCTTCCGATCCACCACGCCGTTGCCGGACTTTCCTCTGCCGCCACCACCAGAGTATGATTCCTTTTTTTTCTCCTTTTTCTGTGAAAAATTTTTGACCTGAACTTTCCGATTTGAACGTCGTCGGCATCGGCGCATCTGGGTTTGAACCAGAACTTGAAAATTTTTTCTGTTAAACTGCATCTGGGTTTGAACCAGAGCGGCCACGATTTTTTCATCCTTTTTTGGCCAAGATTTTTGGCGATGGGTTTCTGGAGCTATGGTCGATTTCTGGCCACGATTTCTGGCGAACGGCCACCAGCACTACTTTTAATGCTACATGGATATTCTAGATGTTACATATACGTAAACATATATATATGTTAAGGATATTAATCTAGCTGTTGACACAGGGTCAATTTCTCACGCCTAATGTATTTTTATGATAAGTCGATGTATTTTCTAAGATTTTGGAGTGTGCATGTTCTTTTTATTAATTTTTTTTTTCTGTTAATTAATAACTTGTTTTATTGGTAAATGGGATTCTATTGAAGAACAAGCTAGTAGCTACAAAGCAAACGGTTTAAAAACTATATGAAAATTAATCAACAGAACATGAGAAGTATGCTTATGGTTCAAAGCTAGTACTATTATAATATGAGAAGCATGCTTATGGTTCAAAGCTAGCAACCTTATGTTTGGTTCTGTATGTTCTGTGGATTTGGTTCTGTAGAAGTATGCTTATTTCTTTTTTTCCCATCAATGAGCAGATATGGATCTTCTTCCATTGGAACAAAAAAAAAAAGAATTGTGGCTATTTTGGTTCAATATATGGAGATGTTAAATGAAAGGATATTTTTGTTCATGCTTATGATATTTGTAATTATTAGTAAGAGACGTTTGCGTAGAAATGGATGGGGTGAGAGTTCTTATCGCCGACATCATGTACGCCAACTAAATTACCATCGATTGATACATGAGAGTGACTTTGCATGTCTTGAAAGCACTCGTATGAATAGAAGAACATTTACTATCCTATGTAACTACCTTAGAACCATTGGCAATTTGAGGGGAACAAAAAATATAGATGTTGAAGAATTGGTAGCTATATTTCTACATATATTAGCTCATGATAACAAAAAATAGGATTTTATGTTCTCATATTCCTACATAGATTTACAACTTTTAATTTCAGGTTTGGAACCTTATTCGAGTATATGTTCTCATATTTAGAACTTTTGTAAGAACTTTTGAGTATAGAGGATTGTTAGGCCCCCTATTACGAGGGTCTACACTAGGAGGGGCAGTAGGGGAATTAGGCAGGAAAAGGGGGAGGAAAGTGGAATTGTTGAAAGAAGGGCTGAGGTGTCCAGTTAGTTAGGATTCTGTTAGTAGTGGAGTATTTAGGCAGACAGAGAGGAGGTGAGAGGCCGTCTGGAATTTGAGTAACTTCTGTCTCAGACCATTGGAGGCTGGGAATCTCGAATCTCTCCCATTGTTATCTTTTTCATTGTATTTCCTTGTTTCCTCTGTTTTAGCTGGTAATCCATTGTGGGAAGGAAATTGCCGTCTTTGGTTGTTTGGCTGGTTGTTAATAAAGAACTCGTCGATTTAATTGAATATCGTTATATCTTCCTAGGGAAGACATTGGAATCTGGACAGGAACGTAACAATTTGGTATCAGAGCGGTCATCCATGGCAGACGCTTCCGGAGAGCAATTTCCAGGGGAAGAACTGGCTCGGCTGGAGGAGAGGATGGGAACGTTTTACGAATCCTTGCAGATCGTGGAGGCGATGATGGAGCCACTTCCAAAACTACAAGAAGATGTGGCTGAGTTTGGCACCCAGATGGGGGAAATGCAAGGGGCGGTGAGGAGGTTGGAGAACCTGCTTATTCGGCAGGCAGAGTTGCTCCAACGCAACCAGCAACCTCCCCCAAGGTTTGATGCAGGGCCTCAGCGGTTCCTTGACCTACGCTGACCACCGCCGAACGTGAGGCCGGTCTCGCCTCCTCCTCCCCCTCGCCACGAGGAACCTCGGCAATATGAACGTGAGAATCGTCAGGAGACGCCTCCCATGCCGAGGGGTCGAGCGGAGCACCGAGGAAGGCGACTCGAGATGCCCTTGTTCCAAGGAGATGATCCCCAAGGTTGGGTGTTCAGGGCCGAGCGGTATTTCGCCGTGAATGACGTGGAAGACGAGGAGAAGGTGATGATAGCTTCGGTTTGCTTGGAGGGGCGAGCCCTGGGTTGGTTCCAGTGGGCGGACGCACAAGATCTGTTCAGATCTTGGCAGGAACTCCGAGAAGGGGTGCTACGACGGTTTGGACGCGCACGGGAGGTGGACCCGGTGGAACGTGGCGGACTATCGAGAAGAATTTGAGAGCACGGCGGCGCAAATGCAAGGGGTCCCGGAAGTAATTTTCAAAGGGGCTTTCCTCCATGGACTGAGAGAGGACATACGGGCCGAGCTGAAAATGCACAGGCCCAATAACCTACAAGGAATGATGGATTTGGCCCAACAGGTGGAGGCCCGAAACGAAGCCGCGGACCGGGTCAGGAGGAACAGAATGGGTCGGGGGCCCAGATCGGATGGGTGGGGTCGCTCGGGGGGATCAGTCGAAGGCCCAAATCCTACCCCATTTTCACCAGAAGGCTCCCTTCGATCCAAAGCACCGAGTGACACGGCACAGGGGCAAGGTACACGACTAGGGCCGGGATTGGGGACGCCGACATAGTTCGGAGCCATTCCGGCTTACCGCCGGCTCACGGAGGATGAAATCCAGCATTGGAGATCTAAGGGGCTCTGCTTTAAGTGCGATGAAAAATTCGGCCCTGGTCATCGTTGTAAGAACAGGCAGCTACAGGTGCTGATCCTGGCGGATGAGGAGGATTTCTCAGGAGAAGACGGGGATGAGGGCCCAGAAACCCGGTCAGTGGAGGACAGCGGAAAGGAAGTCACAAATGAGAAGGTGGATTTGTCCTTGAACTCGATGCGTGGGGTCTCGTCCTCCAATACCCTGAAGCTTCGGGGTCGGATTGGAATACGAGAGGTCGTGGTGCTTGTGGACAGCGGAGCAACCCATAGTTTCATCTCAGAGTCGGTGGTGAAGGAGTTGCAATTACCGAAGGATTCCACGGTAAGTCACAATATTATTGTAGGGAATGGTTTAAGTTTTAAACAGGTTGGGGTCTATAGAAGGGTGAATGTGTGGATCCAGGGTCACTTGGTGGTCGAGGATTTCTTTTCCTTTGACCTAGGTGGAGCGGACTTGGTTTTGGGAGTGTCGTGGCTCCGCACCCTCGGTGAAGTGAGGGCGGATTGGGCAAGGTTTTTAATGAAATTCCGGGCGGGCCCAACATGGGTTATTTGGAAAGGGGACCCTAGTTTATGCTACGCCCCGGTCAACATGAGCTCGTTGGTCCGGTCATGGTCGCCAGATGGGGCTGGGGTGCTGGTAGAAGTCTGTGAGTTCTCAGAATTAGACAAGAATGAAGGGAACCAGGAAATTCCAGAGGAAGTGAGGACCGTAGTTGACAAATTTGCTAAGGTGTTTGAGACCCCAATTGGACTGCCACCACACCGGGGGCGGGACCATAGGATTATGCTGAAAGAGGGAGTGGATCCGCCAAACGTACGGCCTTACCGTTTCCTTCAAATCCAAAAAGGAGAGATCGAACGATTAGTGTCGGACATGCTAACCTCTGGAATTATACGGCCAAGTAACAGTCCTTATTCCAGTCCGGTTATTTTGGTTAAGAAGAAGGATGGGAGCTGGCGATTCTGTGTAGACTATCGCGCGTTGAACCAACTAACCGTACCTGATAAGTTTCCGATTCCGATGATCGATGAACTGTTGGACGAACTCCAAGGGGCGATGGTGTTCTCAAAACTGGATTTGCGGGCGGGATACCACCAGATCCGAGTGCATGAGGCAGACGTCGAAAAGACGGCCTTTCGTACACATGAAGGACACTATGAGTTCCTTGTCATGCCTTTCGGCTTGACAAATGCCCCAGCCACTTTCCAGGCTCTTATGAACCGCATTTTTCGACCCTATCTTCGAAAATTCGTCTTGGTATTCTTCGATGACATTTTAATCTACAGTCGATCGTGGGAGGAGCATCGTCAGCACCTTACTACGGTGCTCGGCCTATTGCAGAGGGAACAGTTAGCTGCCAATAAGAAAAAGTGTTGTTTTGGGCAGCTACAGTTGGAATACTTGGGCCACGTGATCTCGGCCCAGGGGGTGGCAGCCGACCCTTCTAAGTTAGAAGCAGTCACCTCGTGGCCTCCATTGAAGAACGCCAGGGAGGTGCGGGGATTTTTGGGGCTTACCGGCTACTATAGGCGATTTGTTAGGGGGTATGGAAATATGGCGAAGCCTCTAACCGAGTTACTCAAGAAGAACGGCTTTGCGTGGACAGATGAGGCAGGCCGAGCATTTGCAGAGCTTAAGTCCGCAATGACTCAACTACCGGTTTTGGCCATGCCCGACTTTTTGAAGCCTTTTGTTATCGAAACAGATGCTTCGGGTGGGGGCTTGGGGGCGGTCCTGTTGCAGGAGGACAGACCCATCGCCTTCTTCAGTAAGGCACTTGCCCCGTCCTCCCGTTTGAAGTCCGTTTACGAAAGGGAATTAATGGCGGTGGTACTGGCAGTCCAAAAGTGGAGGCACTTCCTCTTGGGCCGCCACTTTGTGGTTAGGACTGACCAACAGAGCTTACGGTATTTAATGAGTCAACGACAAGTTCCTCCCGAGCAATTGCGTTGGGTGTACAAGTTGTTAGGCTATGATTTCGAGGTACAGTACAAGGTGGGGGCGTCCAACCGGGTGGCTGATGCTTTGTCGCGGAGGGGCGACTGGAATGAGCCTTCCCTCGTTGCTCTCACTATTCCCCACACGTGGGATTTTGCTGCCATCCAACAAGAACAGCGTTCAACACCGGCATGGGCTTCTATCATTGCTCAACTCGAACGAGGCGTCGGGTTGGAGGGGTATTCGTTGAACAACAACCTGCTATTCTACAAGGACAGGTTAGTGTTAGTTGAAAACTCCCCTTGGATAGCTCGCTTGACCCATGAGTTTCATGATTCGGTAATAGGTGGTCATTCGGGGTTTGTGCGCACCTACAAGAGGTTGTCTGCGGTGGTTTTTTGGAAGGGAATGAAACGGCACATTCGGGATTATGTCGCTCACTGTGGGGTATGCCAGAGAAACAAATCGGTGGCATTATCACCTGCCGGCCTCTTGCAGCCTCTCCCAATCCCCACTCAAGTCTGGGAGGATATATCTATGGACTTTGTGGGGGGCCTACCAAAATCCGGGGGCTTTGACACTATATTAGTGGTGGTGGACCGCTTATCCAAGTATGCACACTTTTGCCCCTTATCTCACCCGTTTTCTGCCAAGCAGGTGGCTGCCCTGGTGGTCACAAACATCGTCAAGCTCCATGGGATTCCACGATCGATTGTGAGCGATCGTGACGCTGTGTTCATGAGTGGGTTTTGGCGCGAACTCTTCAAATTACAGGGTACGAAGCTGCATACTAGTTCCGCATACCACTCGGAATCGGATGGACAAACGGAGGTCGTAAACAGGTGTTTGGAAACTTATTTGCGCTACTTTGCGGGTGACAAACCTAGACAGTGGGCAGCGTTTCTACCATGGGCTGAATATTGGTTCAACACCACCTTCAATGCCTCAACGAAGTTCACACCCTTCTGCATTGTTTATGGCCGCGACCCGCCGGCCTTGTATCGCTTCACCGACTCGCCGGGGACGGTGGCTGCAGTGGAGGAACAGCTAGCCTTGCGCAATGCCATGCTAGACCTGTTGAAATCGCATCTTGAGGTGGCTCAGCACCGCATGAAGAAGTTCGCAGATCGACATCGCAGGGACCTCAGTTTCAAGGTGGGCGACCAAGTCTTACTCAAGCTGCGACCCTATCGGCTTAAGTCCCTAGCAAGGCGCGTCAACGAGAAGCTCAGTCCTCGCTTCTATGGGCCCTTTCAAGTGATGGACTGTATTGGCCTAGTGGCCTATCGGCTGCGGTTACTGGACGACGCTCGGCTCCATCCCGTTTTCCATGTGTCTCAGCTAAAGCCTTTCCGGGGGCCTGCCGTCCTAGCTCACCCTCTTCCAGCCCAGTTATCTGAGGATTTGGAATTATGTGTGCAGCCAGAAAACGCATTGGCTACTCGGATCGTCATGGAGGGTGGCCGTGAAGTGTGAGAGGTACTCATTCAGTGGCAGGACCTGCCTACCTGGGAATCCACTTGGGAGCCGGTAGATTCCATACGCTCGCAGTTTCCCGCTTTCAACCTTGAGGACAAGGTTGCTCTCGAAGGGGAGGGTAATGTTAGGCCCCCTATTACGAGGGTCTACACTAGGAGGGGCAGTAGGGGAATTAGGCAGGAAAAGGGAGAGGAAAGTGGAATTGTTGAAAGAAGGGCTGAGGTGTCCAGTTAGTTAGGATTCTGTTAGTAGTGGAGTATTTAGGCAGACAGAGAGGAGGTGAGAGGCTGTCTGGAATTTGAGTAACTTCTGTCTCAGACCATTGGAGGCTGGGAATCTCGAATCTCTCCCATTGTTATCTTTTTTATTGTATTTCCTTGTTTCCTCTGTTTTAGCTAGTAATCCATTGTGGGAAGGAAATTGCCGTCTTTGGTTGTTTGGCTGGTTGTTAATAAAGAACTCGTCGATTTAATTGAATATCGTTATATCTTCCTAGGGAAGACATTGGAATCTGGACAGGAACGTAACAAGGATTTTATGGACTACTTGTTCTCTATTATTTGATATGTTCTCTATTATTTGATAATTTTATGAACTACTTGTTGTGTTGTATTTTATACTTTTTAAAATATTAGTGCTAATTGTAATTCATTTAAAAATAATATATATTTTTTAATTCACAACATTCTCATGCACAGCCAAACGCAGTAATGTAATATTCTTGAGAATTTGCGAAAGATTCCTGTATGAAACCAAACACAGTAATGTATTATTCCTAGAAATCATATTACCCTCCATCACTTTCCCGAGAATATGATTCCTACTGATTCCTGCATACCAAACGCCCCCTTTGTTTCTTCCGTGCTATTTTGCTTCGTTTGTAGCTTATATATCTGATTCGCTACCATTTGGCTTTGATCTGTGTATTTATATGTTTGATCTCATTTGTGTTTGAATATTATTCTTGATCTGGCTTCTGAGGAAAGATATGGAAAAATATATCAAAGATTTCGAAGTTTTAGAATACAGTATTATTTAGAAGTTGCAAAAGAAGCAAAATTGCTTCCAATAACCTGTAGATCAAATTTTCTTTAGGAATTCTACATTTTTCTTTCTCTCTCTTTTCTGTTCGTTGGATCTGTGGAGAAATGAATGTTTGGTTAACTTGAATAAACAAGAATAGTTATTTTTGTTAGTTTGATAAAAGTGGGTTTTGCATAAGATCTGATAGAAAATTCACAAATGTCTAAGACTTTGTGGATAGACGTAGATTTATATGGCCGCATAAGCGTAATTGATTTTTTTTTTTTTTTGGCTCTTTATTTCCCTTTATCATTGTTTTGCCTTTGGTTGATGCAGAAAGTATATCCCAAGATTATTTAAGTTGTTTCTATGGGTTCAATCGTTGAAACTGCAAAGCAGGTATATGAATGTATGCATCTTCACAACCATATTATATTTATACCATCACTACCATGAGATTTGGTTTAGTGGGATTTCATTCTAAACAGGAAATAAAAGATTAGTGGTTCACGAAAGCTTGATTCAATTGAAGATCCTTCTGCTTTTTACGTTTAATTTTCTGTTTCAGGATGCTAATGGAAGCTTAGCTGAAAAGAAGCCTACGGTTGTTTTTGTACTGGGTAAGCACTTTTTCCAAATTTTGTCAAAGTGTATGGTAAATTGTTAAATCACACGTATAGGTGCCTTCTGATTCCAAGATGCTCTGACTGTCAGGTGGCCCGGGCAGTGGAAAGGGTACCCAATGTGCTAATATTGTTGAACACTTTGGGTACACACATCTAAGTGCCGGTGACCTTCTGCGAGCAGAAATCAAATCTGGATCTGAAAATGGGTATACCTTTTGTCTTACTGTCTGTTTTCAATGGTTATGTGATGTATACTGCAATTTGAGCTCAAAAGTTAGGTCATACCTTAAAAACCACGCGCCATGCTAGATGGAGGAAAATGGTAACATTAAGGTATTATCATCAAATAAGTTGACTAACAGAAAATACCCAATTTCTGGTAAGATTTTTATCAAGAAAAGATACTTCTGATAACTCAGCTGTACCATAATTGTTGACAATTGACATATTACAACACAATCTAGTTGATTCAGCCAAACTCTTCCAGAAGAATTCAAGCAATCATGATATCTCCTAGGTGCTTTTTCCCTTGCTTTATTAACGTTCGTTGGAAATGCTCTTTTGTTGTCCTGTATGTGCTAAGCCAAGTCCATACTCTGTGTTTGTGCTTTCTTGTTTTTTGTTTCTTTTTTTTTCCCCCTTTTTTATGTAACTTAATTATTTATTTTTTCTTTTTGTGTTGCTTGTTATCATTGAGTTAGTTAAACTGAACAAGACACACATTTTGAATTTGAGCTTGTTTTTTAGCAGTGATCATTTCTTTTCAGAGATATTGACTCCTTTTCTCTTATGGCTAAAGCACCATGATTCAGAACATGATCAAGGAAGGAAAGATTGTTCCCTCAGAGGTAACAATTAAGCTTCTCCAAAAAGCAATGAAAGAAAGTGGAAATGACAAATTTCTTATTGATGGTTTTCCTCGTAACGAGGAAAATCGTGCAGCATTTGAAGAAGTTGTAAGCCCACTGCACAAACCCTTCTAGTAACTTTATCTTTACCAGAAAATGTTTGAAGAGTTGAGGATCCTTACGTTGAATGACGACCTGAGTAATGGTTCTTGGCTACTTGCAGACTAAAATTGAACCAACATTCGTCCTGTTTTTTGATTGTGCGGAAGAAGAGATGGAGAGGCGTCTTTTGAGTCGGAACCAGGTTAGGATTATGTGATTTATCAATCTCTCTGATTTTGCTGTGATCCCTCTCTCTCTGTTTATCTATGTCTGTTTATGTTCTTATCCTTTCTGTTTATTTTAATGTCATTTCTTGTAATCCGCATGTAATAATATGTTTGTTTTCAATTTTGGGTTTGTGTAGGGATTTTCAATTTTGGGTTTGTCTAGGGAAGAGAAGATGATAACATTGAAACAATAAGGAAGCGGTTCAAGGTTTTCCTAGAGTCTAGTCTTCCTGTGGTTGAGTACTATGATTCCAAAGGAAAAGTTAGAAAGGTAATTGTGATGTTCATATTACTAAGTTGTGTTAATATGTTTGTAGCTCTTATTGTAAGCATCTTCGGGTTGTGATATATTATTGCACATTTATCATAACCATGGATTTTTTTTTTTTTTTTCTCAATCAGATTGATGCTGCAAGGCCTGTTGGCAAGGTTTTTGAGTCAGTTAAAGCCATTGTTGCCCCAGAAAATGAGAAGGTAAAGGGTTACGGCCGTGTGCTGTGGTAATATATACTCGCTTTAGATGTTTACAAGTGGAATTAATGAACCTGAAGGAATTTTATGAACTGCTGATAAAAGGAAGGATGATATACAAGAGCACGATCCCCGTCGTTGATGTTGATTTTTGAAATATGTCTAATTTACTCCTTAATGCTAATTTATGGTGTTTGCACTGAGTGTTGCAGTTGTACCTAAGATATGAGACGTGCCGTCTATTGAGGTAAAATTTTGAATTTTGTTAGAAATCTTGATTATAAACCTCAAGAATATGAAATTCATTCTGATGCTATTCCCCGGTGTTAACGAGGTCATTCAAGTTGATCTAGTACAATTAGGAATCGCTCCTTGATCACATCTTTGTTCAAAACCGTAGTTTAGTTGGTGATTGTTAAAACTCAATACCTCCATACACCTGTGATAAATTTTTATAACAGAGTTAAGATGTACAGGCTTTTCACTGGAATCTCCATTGTGATCTTTTATGTTTGATTCCCATTCTTTATTGAGTTGGCAATAAATGATTTGATGATTAAAGGACGCTCTTTAGTTGTTTATGGCATTAAGCAATAGCTTGTCAGTTTTCTGTATTAATTGTAGTCTTGAAGAATCTGAGGATTGCGATATAGTTCACTTGCTTTCCATGTTTGAAGGAAAATGAAAATAAAATACAAATTCTTATTGCTAGACTATGGGCCAATAAAGAGGATGTTTGGTATCTAGATTCGTTCTCTGATTTGAATCATTGTTCGTGGTTCGCTACAGTATTTTTTCTCACAAAAAATACACGTAAATCAAAAATAATTATAATCACGTGGTTCTTCCATGAATCAAATGTCGTCTCATTTATCAAAGAAAGAAGATATGGGCGTGGGATCAATTAGTTTTTACATGCAAAGCTTCGTACGGAATTACAATTTCTAATGAAATGAATTTCTACAAATATTTAAAGCATTAGTGAGGTGGTATTCTTGACTAAAATTATCATTATAATTATTGCAGGTTATGCTTTTGTGGGTTGCATATAACAGTATTTCATGTGCAAGATTTTTGTATTTTGGTTATTGTTTTAGAAGGTTGTAGTTTATATATTTAAAAAAAAAAATGAGGTATATGTCTTTGTTATCATTCTTGTTGTATTATATATTAAGAGTACTAAACTGATTATAATCACAATAATATTTACTCTCTTACTACCCAGTTGGCATCAATTTTTATTTATTTTTTTTCAAGTTTTCAGAAGAAAAGGTTTTAACTGTACAAGTAAAACTTCTAAATAATTGAAAATTCTTTACGATAATCATTAATATACGATTAAGTGTCTTTTTTTAATAGCAAAAATCAGTTCCCCTAAAAAAAAATTCAGTTGAAGTAATTAAGCCTTATAATCGAGGAGTGATTTGCCTTTTACAACGAATTTTCTGTGGCACGAAAATTGACAAGTTGTACTTCTGAGTTAAGTATATATCGGCTTCTCTTTTTGAGTTAAAAGTGATTCTAGGCTTCTAATGCTTTTGGAAAAAGTCAATTAGTCATTTTATTTCTTTGGTATATTTCCCAGTATCCTTTATTTTAGGGGAATTCAAATAATGGATGGAGAATGGTACCTATTCCCTACTAGTAGGCCATGAATTATAGACTTTCTGATTATGGTTTCAATTAAAAAGAAAAAGCAACAAACTAATTGCATGATAGACTACACATGGTTTGAATTTTATTATTCTTTTTTCCTTTTATCTAGTTTTCGCTACATCATCAGCCCATTTCACTTCTCAACAAAATATGGTTTGACTGAAATAAGATTTTTACGGATAAGATTTTTACGGGAGTTACAAAATAGAACAAAGGGATCGCTTTTTTATGTGATTGGACGAGTGATGCTTGTTCTTGATTTCCATTGGTTGGATGACAAAGCTTTCTGCTTGCAATTGGTTGTCCTACGTAACAGTATGCTGGCAACTCATATAAATGCAGAATGATGCAGCTGCTTGCTATCTAGCTCATGCTTCAAAAATCCGACCGTTGTGTCCAACCTGAAAATAAGCCTGAAAACCCGAGTTGCCCAAATACCCGAAACCCGTCCGAACCCGCCAATGAAAATATTTGTGACGACCCTAACATTTGATCGTCATCCTATACTCATAATTAACATTACTTAACATCTAACACTTACTAGATATAACCTCTTTAAAACTCAGGCCATTTTTTTCTTTCCATTCTTACCATATACGTTAAAATGCTGTAGCATTTAGCTAGCATTCTGCTTTCATCCTTTCGTAAAATGCCGTAGCATTTAGCTAGCATTCTGTTTCCTACCATTCGTAGAATGCTGTAACATTATGACAACATTCTGTTACATTAGTCATCAAAATACATAAAACACTACTCTATTTTATATATAAAGTACAGCAGCGTTTCCAAAACGCGTGATACATCCATGACCCACTTGCCCACATTCCACTGCTACATCCTCTTTGCATGCCCAACAACAAGTTTCAGGGAGCCGGTGCCTTACCCGTGCTTCCTACAACACGAACAAACTTAATGAGCTTTCGCTCAGCAAGTATCAATAGGTCATAACAGATGCAATAATTATGCATACCCATATATGCATTCATATCATATAGCCTAGTACAGAATTCTAAACGACTTTCATTCTGTGTTTTTCATTCTTTTCATTCTTGTTTACGGATACCATACCGTTATATGGAATGGTTTTCGTGTTTCATTTTCTTGTCTTTTACTTTGTAGGGACTCTATCCTGTTGTACCATAGCGCGCGTAACTAGTGAGGAGTGGGGTAGCTAACCAATCTAACTCAGTCACGGTTTCATATATTTCATAGTCTCATAATAACCTTTCCTTCGAAGGCTAGTACAAATAGGAATGAAGTCTTCATTATCACTACTACTGTCAGATTCTGAATTAGCTCCATCTTTTTTGCAGTTTTCAGAATCTGTTGCAGAGGGTGTTGCAACACCGTCTGAGACACTGTCTGCAACAAAGCCGTCACAAACATCTTGATCAGCATAAACATTGAAAGTAACATAATTGCTCACATGGTTATCATCCTCCTGGCTAACTTCAGAATCCTCATCACTCCATGTGATGTTGAGAGACTTCTTCTTCTTCTTAAGGGTGTCAGCACACTCAGCTTGAATGTGGCCATAACCATCACAACCTCGGCATTGAATTCCTCTATTTCTTATCTTTGATTTCGTGTTATTCTCTGCAACTTTATTCCTCTGGAAATGTTTAGAGTTGCCAAAGTTTGGTGTGCGGTTCTTCTTGTTGACTTCTCTATCACCTTGTTGAAATTCTTCGACAATCGTGCTATAGACTCGGCCAATTATTCTTTGTCATCGGACTCAACTTCGTCAACTTCGGCTTGAAAAGCAATTCCTTTCTCCTTCTTCCCTTTCTCCTTCTTGTTTTGATCCAGGTTTATTTCAAAGGTACGCAAGGAGCCCATCAAATCATCAAGCCTCATAGATTCCACATCATTTGCCTCTTCTATTGTTGTAAACTTGTAAGCAAATCTTAGTGGTAGCGATCTTAGAGCCTTCCTCACTAGTTTTGCCTCAGAAATTTTTTCACCAAGTGCAAAAGACTCATTAACGATGTCACACAATTTTGAATTAAAATCCAAATTGCAATAGTTCCTTCGTGAGCCGTTTGTAAGATCTTCTAGGCTTTTTTGCTTGTGACACATGTCAATATGAGCTTGAATTGGTTGGCATCTACCCCTTTAAAGTTTGCATTTAAGGCACACAAGTGTTTGTTGGCCAGCCAATCTTCTTTAGTCGACCAGGTTTCTTCTGGCTTCAGGACTTCTTTTCCAGAGGCATCCTTGGCACAAAGATGCAACCAACCAGTCAAAATAGCACGCCAGGCCTTCTCATCAAGAGCCTTGATAAAGGCCTTCATCGGGGCTTTTCAGTATGAGTAGTTAGAACCATCTAGCAGTGGTGGGTATGAAACTAAACCTCATTCCTTCAACAAATCCATCTCTAACATAATAGACCAACTTCTCAAAATCTCACGAGTGAACGGTCGGTAAACCACTTTGATGCCAGATGAAAGGTCTGTTTTTGTCACAGGTGTTGGACGGATTGCTGTAACACTTTCTAGAACACTGACGATTGAACACTTAAAGGCTCTCTCATTGATGTCCTTATGGAGAATGCTCTTAGTGGCTTTGTCTAGTGAGCACCACTTGTCTTCGAATTGCTCAGTGAACTTCTTTCGACTGACAGTGGGCGAAAGCAACAAGTCCTTCCAAAAACAATCTCTACACAAATAGCAACAAGACTCGTATACACAAAGCTCACTCTCTGAAAATATTTTTCTCTCAATACAGGCCACACACCCACATTTAACACACCTTAACTAAAAGATACGTGCAACACAACACCCATATAAAGTACATTGAGCACATATATCAAAGTCAACCTGTGACCTTTCAACATTTTTCGTCAAAATGATAGCCCATAATCTAATTAATTTGAAAATACTTTCCTCAAATAGTTCTGGCATCAAATATACAACTATTTCCACCATAGCATCAAATCTCCCAATTATTCTCTAAAATTATACCTTACCAAAATCTGATTTCCATCAACAAAAAAATTTCATATTTGGAGCAATCAAGCAAAAAAAAATCACATATTCTTCTCCATAAAAGTCATTTGCTAAAAGTATATGTTTTTGAATTTTTTACAACCAATGCTAACAAATTGTCAACTAAAGTCCTAACACATCGTTTTCAACTTGTAAACCAATCCCCAAAAACCCCTCTTTCTTTTCTTTTTTCTATTTTTTTTTGAATTTACAATCTGTTGCCATTAAACGGCCAACAAAAAAAAAAAAAAAAAAAAAAAAAAACCTAACATAAGGCAAACTACTTATCACTCGCATATACATTATCTTTTGAAGATTCATTCAACATACCAAAGGTTAAAATTTGTAAACTTGGATATAAACCTATTACTCATAAAACTTTACAGAATAATAATATATACATAGGAGTACATCATTCATTAATTTTAGATAGATGTTTCACCGAATCTACGAATCTATTCAAAAATTGTATGTATATATATATTTTTGGTTAAGGATTTGCAATAAAAATATACAAAGTATACAACGAAATGAATTTTCTAAAATCTTTTGGATTCATCTCATATTGCTATATAAAATAATTATCATAATTATGTTAGAACCATGGGCTCCACTCTAAGAGAATGTGGTTCCAATTCAAAAGGTTAACCAAGTGAGTGGAGTAGCCCACTCTCTTATCATAGATCTTATTTGTTGCCAATATGAGTCTTTATTTGCATCTCTAATCAATAATGGTTTGTATCTATTGGCAAACAATCTATAGATGATCAAGGGTTCCAAAAATCTTCTTAACTATCTCCGTTCTTTGAATTAGCTGATATGTGAACACTGGTTAAATTTTCTTTCCTTCCAATCAGTATTGGCTATGGCCTTCTTTAAAAACTCCTTTAGGACATCAATTGCGCCTAGTTTGAGAGATCTTGTCTTTCACTGCACATACACACTTAAATTTATGTTGGTTAAATCATAAATTTAAATGACATATAATAATATTCTGACATATAAAAGATGCTACTTTAGTTACATGCATATAATACACACTCATGATATAGGTGTTGGGAATGGTGTCCTAGAAGCATGAGATGTAATAGGATATTTATTATTTATTTAATAAAAGAGTTTATTCATTATTTTATGTGCATATATTTATGAATATTTTATGAATATCAATAAAAATTCCATGATTATTTATGTAACCTTAAAACATTGTATATAAGTGTTATATACGAGAGGATAATGTTTAAGGATAATAATCAAAAAGCAATGTTCATAATGAATTTAATTAAAGTTTGGAATCTTTAATTAAAACATTATTAATACATGTCATTCCCATTTAGAATGGAACGGTGTTATCCGCACTGTTAATATGGTGAGATATTGAATGAGTGTATTTCGCATAATGAGATTATGTGGAACAAGGACACAGACACAATATGAATTTCTAATAATTCCGTTAAGTATAGAAATTCTAATTGAGTCTACCGATGGTCATATATAGAATGATCTTAATCCTGAGTTCTTAACAGACTCCTATTTATGGATTCGTGTCTTTTGATTTACTCGGTACGGATT